GAAGCCACTAGAGAATGATGAGTGTTGTTAATCTGATGTATCCAGCAGCTTAACTCAGCCTCCAGGGAGAACACTTGAGTTTGGCTGCTTTCCCTTCCCAGGTATGGAACAGATAATAGTTCTGTATTTCCAGGGCAAAAAGATTCCAAATAAACCATTGAACCCACAGGTACTTCATGTGGAGCTGCACCTGGATGGAACTAGAGCTAAGCTTTGGGTTATTAGAACTGGTTCTGTAAATGAGGCAAGAGCTAAATAATGATTTCATGACACTAAAGTTAAAATGGCTGGAGGGTATTCCTGGCTGGAGTGAAGAGGGAAAACAACCATATTCCTGTAAATGAGAGGTTTGGGGAAGAGGAGAGGGAAAATACACGACTACAGCAGCCTTCAGTGTCTTCTCAGGTGAAATTTGGAGCAGAGTGAGCTAATCAAAAAGTATTTCTGACCCAGATGGCTCCTCTTTGTCTTGATAATCACAGTGTGCCCATGCTGGAGTGGTTCTCAGTGCAGTGGGGGACAGTGAAGAGCTCAGTAAGTGCTGTGGGCTCTGCCCAGTGCCCAGGCAGGACAGGCTGTGAGGGGGCAGAACCACCCTCCTGCCTGTCTGGTGCCAGGCCAGGCTTGGGGAGCAGCCCTGGTTTAGCACCTGGATGTTAAAAAGGTGCAGAGCTGGAGTCTTCCCTCTACCCAGATTGCCCAGTTTGTGCCTGTACCTGGCTGGAGAGAAGACAGTGGGAATTTGGGAAAGGCACTGAGATCAGGCACCACTTTCAGACTGGGACTGGTGTCTGGAACATGCCATGAGAACAGGGAGTCCTGCTGGGATAAAGCCTCTGGGCACACACAGGAAGATTTTTTTTCCCCTGAAGATGCTGCTGGTGACTTCTGCCAGCAGCTGTGTGAGGAAAGCTGATCTTTGGAATGAGATTTTTTAGCCCCTGAGCCTTAGAGGGTGAAGCCATCTCTGTGTACCTGGGTGCTCCATGGTGCTGGTGCTGCTGTCCCTGCACAGAGTCCACCCTCCCACCCTCTTCAAGGAAATCCACAGCTGCTGCTGCCAGGGCTTGAACTGCACCTCCTAAAAGCCCTCCTGGGCTGATGCCAAGTGTTCATTTGGACATCTTGTTTTCTCTGGACAGTGCAACTAGAGAATAAAAGGAGCTGAGTTAAAAGCAGGCTTAGGTTCCTATGTAGCTGCTTTCTGTAGCAAATTCACATCTGGGTGAGAGAGGCAAAGTTATTTTTATGGAAAAGTTCTAGCCACCTCCTGCTGAGAGACAGGAAAAGTGCTTCCTTCCCCAGACTGATCTTTGAAGGGAGTTCTGTCTGTGACAGAACCTCCTGGTGCTCTCTCTGCACCTGTCACAAAGGTGAAACTCTGCTGTGCCCTCCAGGCAATCATGGGAGGGGAAACCTCACCCTCCCCTGGAAAGCTGGGAGGAATGTTAGTGTTAGCCAGAGAAAATGGACAATCCCTTCCCACTCCTGCTGGAACTGAGAGGAATTCTGAGTGTCAGAGAGAACTGGAGCTGTTAAAAGCTGGAGATGGTGGTTGATGTGGGAGGTTTGCACTGCAGGGCTGAGCCCTGATGGAGCTCAGGGTGACACTGCCACTGCTGCCATTGGTTTTTCTGGAAGGAGCTGAATTGTTGCCATTACAATCACAGGCTGGAGGGAGGAGTGGCTGTGTGGTGGCACTGGTCACCTCGTATACCTCTTGCTGTGTCTTTCTTTGGAACAGGAGCTGCTTGGCCTGATCTTGCTGTCACCTTTTAGCCACTTTTCTGTGTATCCAAGTGGCCAGACTTGAATTCTCTGAGGAATGACTTGGAGATCAGGCTGTGGCTCATCAGTGTCAGTCTGGTTCTTAAGCTTTTCTGCCTCGTTCTGCTTGTGCCATCTGTGCCCCTGGAATTGCTTCCCCTGGAATGAACTTCTCTTCTGCCTGTGCTGTCCCCAGAGAGGGCACACAGCTTTCTGCTGCATGCACAGGGAGGGGACACTGCCCTGGCAGGACTCACCTGGGCACGAGGGGAGGTTTGTGCACCCTGAGCTGCCCAGGGAAGGTGAGAGGGGAGTGGCTGAGGAGAGCAGGGCGAGGCTGTGTCCCCTCTGCTCTGAGCTCCTGGGGCACAGCTGGGGAAGGGCCGTGGCCATGGCTGTGCTTTCCCCAGTTCAGTGTGACAATCCAGAGCAGCCATCGACCTGCCCTGTCCCAGCCTCCCCCTGCCACCAGATGCCAGCAGGGTGTGTTCTCAGCCGGGCTGAGCCTGAGCAAAGCCTGAGCTCCCTCTGGGCGGGATCGGCAGCTCTGGGGCAGCCCCAGCCCCTCTGCTGAGTTCAGGGCTGTCCTGGTAACACGGGGAGGGGAGGGCTCCAAGGATGACCAGGCCTGGGTACATGGAGCTGTGTTGACACGCGTGCAGCATGCTCGGGTGTGCTGTCCTGCTCGGGGGTGACACCCTGTGCCTGTCTCTGTGCCCTGCACACGCTGTGCCTCCACATTACCATCGAGGAGGGAGCTCAGAGCATCCAGGCCCTGTCCCTCAGAGGGCTTTTGTTGCTTTTCTTTGAGTGCCTTTTGAGTTTGTCTGGAGCCAGTCCCACCCAATCCAGCAGGATTTCTAGTTTTGTTTACAGTGGACTGTCAGTTTTGTTTTTCCTCTTGCTCTTTGTGGCGGTAACTTGTCTGATGTTACTGTGAATATCAAGAATCTCCTGTACATAATTAACCAATAAAATAGATTGCATTTTACTCTGGTGGGGCTGTGTTTTGGGAACAGTCCTCGGTGCAACCCTCGGAGGGAGCAGCAGGGCCCAGTGTTGCTGTTCAGGTGCTGTGGGGTGGGGGTGAGGAGCAGCATCCTCTGGGCCTCCCCAGCTCCCAGGAACTCACCCTGAAGCTGCTGGAATGGGAACGTGGGGATTCCCTGAGAAGTCTCTTTGTTCCAGCTCAGTCACGCTTTGCAGGTGTGGGGAGGGATGGAAAGAGGAATTGGTGCCTCCCAGATCTGCCTGCCCTGGAGAGTTTAGGGAGCTGTGACATCTTCCTGAGGTGTTTGTTGTCCTCTCAGAGCTGGGAATGCCAGCCCAGCAAAGCAATTCCTGATCATTGTATGTGGTGTTAGACAGGAAATGCAGCTCTTTGCTAGGCCAGTCTGAAGTTCTTTCCAGCTGGAAAAGTTTGAAGTTCTGTACATTTTTCCAGCCTGACCTGAAATTTGATGCACCTACAACACGGGAAGCCTGAATTTAACTGAAGTCCACTTCAGAGGAATGCTGAAAAACCAGACCTGGTCATTGTGCTGAAGATGGCAGGAAACAGCCCTGGCCAGAGGCAGGGAGAGCCTCCAGCTCCTGAATTCCCTGCAGCTGTCCTGGTATAGGCCCAGAGCTGTGGCAGCCTGCCCTGCTCCTTGCCCAGGCTGCAGGGAGCAGTTCCCTGAGCATCAAGAAGCTGCTCAGGTTTTGAAGTTGCTTCCTTAAGCTCACCCCAACTGTCAGACTCCTCCTGTCAAGTGTCCTCCACTGCCAGACTCCTCCTGAGTGGGCTCTGTCCCAAATCTCACCTTCCCGTCACCTAAATCAAATCTGACCTCACCCTGCCCAGGCACCTGCTGAGGGTAAGTGCAGGGACCTGCTGAAGAAATAAATCCACGTGCCCTTGGCCTTTTCACGTGGCACGAGCCATAAGGAACTGTTTGGTGGCCTTTGATCCAAGCAGCAAGCAGCCCTGAGCTCCTCTCAGGGGTGACAAACCAGAGCAGCTGGGGTGACACTGGGCAGAGCTGGATGGAGGTGGAACAGGGAAGTGCAAAGGACAAGCTGCTCAGTCAGAGAATCTGGGCCCGTGATCCAGGCCTGCAGCCATTCCCTGCTCCGGGCCCAGCTGTGACAGGAGCAGGGAAGCAGCTCTGGGAGGCTTTTGGGACTGGCTGATTTAACAGACAGAGGATTCTTTCCTGGTTGCCTCGGGAAAGGACAGAGCAGTGCCTGGCACCCAGAACTGTGGCACCTTTATCCCAAAACACGCATGAGACACTTCAGGACCTTCTCCTCAGTGGGGCCAGCAGTGGGTAGGTGCAGATGGCCACACTCCACTGTCTGGTTTGAGATCACCAAATCACTTTCCCAGAGGATCCTCCCGCAGTGTTTTATCCCCCTGCTCACAGGAGCAGGGAACGGGTGGTCCAGTGTTTCCACCCTCACCTGGTCACTGCAGCCGTTTACAGCAGCTCGTGTGATTATTACTTTTTTATTAAAAAAAAATAAGTGTTTATTTTAAACAAAACACTCGGCAAAGGCGTTTACGGGCACGTTAACCAAACTTAAAAACCAAAATGTAACAGCTCGGAGGGGGGGCGGCGAGACCCGCCCGGCGCGGCGGCCCGGCCGAGCGGGGCTGGGGCTGCCGGGGGTCCCGGGGCAGCCCCGTTAGAACTCGAAGGTGCCGAAGTGCGCGGTGCGGCCGCCGGCCTTGGGCTGCGGCTTGTACCCGATGCGGTCATTGATGAGCTGCTCGCGGCTCTTGTGCTCCGTGCCCAGCGCTCCGATCGCCGCCGCCTCCTCGCCGCCCGCCGCCGCCTCCGCCTCGTCCCGCTGCTTCCTGCGGCTCTGCGGGCGAACGGGCCGGTCAGGGCCGGGGGCGGGCTGAGCCCCCCGCGCCCGGCCCCGCGCGCACCTCCAGCTCCTTCCGCACGCTCTCGAACTCCTCGATGTCGTCCAGCTTCAGCTCCAGCCGCGTCGGCTTCCGACGGAGCATCGCGACCGGCGGCACCGCGACCCGCGGCACGACCGAGCGCTCCCGCCCTCAGCGGGCCCCGCCCGCCCCGCCACACCTCCCGGCGTGCCCCGCGCGTCCCGCCCTCAGCGGGCACTGCATCTCCCGGCGTGCCCTGCGCGCACCGCTTGCGCCGCCACACCTCCCGGCGTGCCCTGCGCGTTCCTCCCTTAAAGATCGACGCAGTTCCCGGCCTGCCCTGCGCGACCCGCCCTTAGCGTGGCCGCCACTCCTCCCGGCATGCCCTGAGCGACCCGGAAGTGGCCGTGAGGTGCCGTAGCCCGAGCGCCGCGAGTCTCGCCCCGTTCCCGTTCTCTGGTTCCCGCTCCCCGGTTCCCGCTCCCTTTCCAGGCTTCCTGTCGGTTCCTGGGCTTGTTCCCGGTCCCCCTCCCGCCATGGCCACGGCGCGGGCACCGGCGGCGCGCGGCGGGGCCCGGCCCCCCGAGGTGAGTGTCCGGGAGGTGGGGGCGGCTCCGGGCCCGTTTCCCGCACGGCCGCGGCGCCGCCCGCAGGAGCGGGAGAGGCCGCGGGGGTCGCGAGCGCTGTTGCTGTGTGGGGTTTACGGTGCCCCGGTGACAGCGGAGCTTTAAAGGAGCCCGAAGGCTCCCGTGTTTCCTGCACTTGTACCCAGTCCTGGTTGCTCTCCCGGGAGTTCGTGTGAGGCGCCTCTCCGGGGGGAGGGAGCCGGGCTCCGCGCATTTCCCGGCCTCCCACGGGGGGAGCTGGAGCATGGCATCGCTCCTGGCTGTGCTGCTGCAGCGGGAGGAAAAGCTCCGTGTTCTAAAGCTTTTTTATAAAATACCTCTGCAGTTAATAAATAAAAGGGACCCAACACTGCTTGTTTTCCGCAATTTAATGTGGCATTTTACTTTTGTGCTTTGGTCTTTGGGCAAAAACCTCAATGTCCAGTGCTGCTCCATCCCTGGCAGTGTCCCAGGCCAGGCTGGGGGCTGGGAGCAGCCTGGGACAGTGGGAGGTGTCCCTGCCATGGTAGGGTGGCACTGCATGGGCTTTAATGCCTTTCCAACCCAAACCAGACTGGGATTTTGAGAGATCTTTGCATGGTGTCCAGCCCTGTTCTCCTGGCTCAGCCAGGCTGTTGGCTGTGTGCTCTGTCCCCACGCTCTGTGTCCCCTCTGCTCTCCCTCAGCCCCCCAAGGCCAAGCCTGCAGAGGAGGCCGAGGCTCCCCCGGCCAAGCGGGCGCCCATCTTCTACGGGAGCCTGGAGGAGAAGGAGCGGGAGCGCCTGGCCAAGGGCGAGGCTGGGCTGCTGGGCAAGGAGGGCATGAAGGCTGCCCTGGAGGCTGGCAACATCAACATCAGCAGTGGTGAGGATGTGCAAACACCCCTTGTTGTGCTCCCCGCAGATGTGACACTTCCAAATGGCTCTGCTTGCTCTCTGGGCATCGCCTCAAAGCAGTCAGGAGTGGGCTGCTCCGTGCTTGGATCTTCCCTTTCCAGAGGGATCCAGGGCAGGGGGGCTCTGGGAGAGCTGAGGGAGGGATCCAGGGCCTCTGGGAGAGCTGAGGGAGGGATCCAGGGGCTCTGGGAGAGCTGAGGGAGGGATCCAGGGGCTCTGGGAGAGCTGAGGGAGGGATCCAGGGGCTCTGGGAGAGCTGAGGGAGGCGTGGAGCGTCCCTCTCTGCAGACATCCCAAACCCTGCTGTGTCCCCTGCTGCGGGTGGCCCTGCCGGGGCAGGGGATGCTCTGGGTGATCTGCCGGGGTCCCTGGCAGCCCCAGGTGTCCCCTGGGCCGTGCTGGCTGCGTGTGCTCAGGCTGTGTGTGCCCAGGGGAGGTGTTTGACCTCGAGGACCACATGAGCGAGCGGCAGGCCGAGGTGCTGGCGGAGTTCGAGCGCCGCAAGCGCGCGCGGCAGATCAACGTGTCCACGGACGACTCCGAGGTCAAGGCCTGCCTGAGGGCCCTGGGCGAGCCCATCACGCTCTTCGGAGAGGGCCCCGCGGAGCGCAGGGAGAGGTGCTGTGCCTGCCCTCGGGGAGGGGCACCTGGCAAATCCCGGAGCTTCTCCTGGGAGTTGGGGTGCAGGGAGCCCTGCTGTGGCAGTGCTGTGCCACGGGGCAGCTGGGAGAGCTGGGGGTGTTCAGTCTGGGGAGGGGGAGGCTCCAGGGAGAGCTCAGAGCCCCTGCCAGGGCCTAAAGGGGCTCCAGGAGAGCTGGAGAGGGACTGGGGACAAGGATGGAGGGACAGGACACAGGGAATGGCTCCCACTGCCAGAGGGCAGGGATGGATGGGATATTGGGAATTAGGAATTGTTCCCTGGGAGGGTGGGCAGGCCCTGGCACAGGGTGCCCAGAGCAGCTGTGGCTGCCCCTGGATCCCTGGCAGTGGCCAAGGCCAGGCTGGACACTGGGTCTGGGAGCAGCCTGGGATGGTGGAAGGGGTCCCTGTCCATGGCAGGGGTGGAATAGGATGGGCTTTAAGGGCCCTTCTAACCCAAATCAGTCTGGGATTTCTGTTTTAAGAACTCCAAGGCAGAGGGAGTGTCACAGTGATATTTGTCAGGTGAGCTGAGAATTCCCTGACTAAATCCAGCTCCATGACTTCCCTCACAGGTTAAGGAACATCCTCTCTGTGGTTGGCACAGACGCGTTAAAAAAGACCAGGAAAGATGATGACAGGTCCAAAAAGTCCAAAGAAGAGGTAAGGGTGTCTCCTGTCCCCTCAGTGCTGAGGGAGGGGTGCTATAGCCAGGACTCCTGGCTTTGGCCGGCCTGTGGGTTCTCACAATCCCTTCAGGCTTTTTCTGTTTTGCCCACTTCAGCAAATCTGTGGCAATGTTTGGTCTCAGTGAGGAGCACCAAGTGTGGTTTTTACTCACAGACCCTGCTCTGTGCTGCTCTCAGTGTGCAAACCAGGAGAGCAGGTGTGTGGGTTCTTACCTACCATAGCAAGTCCCTTACTTTCCTTCACACTTGGGAAGAAAAAAATATGTTAATGCTGCTGCATCTGTTTCTGCCTTTGATTACTCTTTCTGCTCCTGTCTCTCCTCTGACTTTCTTCTGCCTTATTATTTTTGAGCTGTACTGTAAGAAATAATTTCTGCAGCTCTGGGCTTTCTCTTTACTGGGTAATGTGTAAAGAAGGAGGGAGTTACATGTCAGTAAATGCAGATGAGTCAGGGTTCAGCTGGAACGTTGAGTGAAGTGGCAGCATGTCAGGATTGGATCTGCAGGGCAGAGAGTTTGATTTCTCTCTCCAAATCCCTTTTCTTGGGGCTTAATTGTGCAGAAGGCCCTTAAAAAGAGGCCAGAGCACAGCAGGGTTTGGGGGCAGGTGCTGGGAGGAGCTGAGGGGAATGAACACAGGGGCAGCAGCACCAGGGCTTTTCCATCAGTTTTATTCCTGTTTTCACAGTATCAGCAAACCTGGTACCACGAGGGCCCACGCAGTCTGAAAACAGCCAGGCTGTGGCTGGCCAACTACTCACTCCCCAGGTGAGAGAAAACTGAAAGCATTTGTCAAATGCAAGGGCAGATCCCCCAGTGGGTAGCACAGGAAATCCAGGGAGTGGGGAGGCAAGTCCAGTGAGCCCAGTGAGCTCCAAGGGACTGATCCAGCATGAGCCCAGTTTGGGGGAGGAGCAGGGAAAGGCGTTTCCAGCAGCAGGGAAGGGGCAGTTCTGGGGATTGTCACCCCACCTCTGCTCTCCCCAGGGCAGCGAAGCGGCTGGAGGAGGCCCGGCTGCTCAAGGAGATTCCCGAGGCCACCAGGACGTCCCAGAGGCAGGAGCTGCACAAATCCCTGCGGGTAGGTTTGGCTGCTGCTCCCCTGGCTGATCCTCCGAGAGCCCAGCAGGAATTCAGCTGCCTGAGGTGCTGTCCACATGCACATCAGTCTCTGCAAGCTTGGGAAGTTCTGCTTTTCCTCTGTTTCCCTGTGTCTCTGAAGCATGTTCTGACTCCTTCAGAGTGCTCCAGGGAGATTCAGTTTGTCCCTGTGCAGAGGGTGCCGCTCGCCTGTGAGGCTAAGGGAATGTATCCCTGGCTCTGGCAGGGGTTTGGCTGGCTGGGGAGCCAGGGAATGCAAGGGAAATACCAGCTCTGGGTGCTGAACATGGTTGGGATGACTCTGAGATGCCCTTTCTGAGCATGCTAAGCCAGATTCCCAGCTTAACCAAACAGAGGCTTAGGCACAGCGTGTGCTGCCCCCCTAATCCTGTTTACTCCAGAGGATTTGCTTCTCCCCTCTGCCCCGTCTGTCTGGTTGGATTCTTTGGATGAGTTATGGAAAGATGCCAAACTCCAGCCAGTTCTGTGTCAAAGCTGCAGCTGCAGAGCTCTGGGGCTGGAGGGCACATGCCATGGGTGGCCCTGGGGGGCTGAGCTGTGTGCCCAGGCCGTGCTGGATCACCTGGGCCAGGCTGGCCCTGGCCCTCCTGCCTGGAGCTAGAGTGGCTCTGAGGCAGCATCTCCCTTTGAAAGTGACTTTCCAAGGGCCTCTGCCTCCTCCTGTGCACATTTGCCTCCCTCACCTCAAGCTTTGGCTGGGGATAGCTCTGGGCTGGTTGTACTTCATTTATTGGTGATTTTCTTTGTATTTCTTACAGTCCTTGAATAACTTCTGCAGTCAGATTGGGGATGATCGCCCACTGTCCTACTGCCACTTCAGCCCCAACTCCAAACTGCTGGCCACGGCCTGCTGGTGAGACTGCCTTGGCAGCACCTGCTTTGGGGGCTGGGAGAGCACAGGAATGTGTTTGGAGGCTTGGGAATGGTGAGAAGCTGCTCTGAGCTCTCATCACCCCATTTTAGAGCTGAGCAGAGATTCATTGATCTGAGCTGGTTGAACAAGAACAATGATCTGTTCTTGATGTCATTCTCCACTGACATCCATTCCTTGTTTTCCACAGGAGTGGGCTGTGCAAGCTCTGGTCTGTGCCTGACTGCAACCTGGTTCACACCCTACGAGGTAGTGAGGGGCTCTCACGGAGGCTTTTGGTTCTTTTGTTCCTCTCTGTGCTGAGCTCCCACATCTGAATTACTTTGTGGTTTAAAATGCTGTGTTAGGGCAGATTTGTGTCTTACTGAGAGCATCTCTTGGTTTGGGAGCATGAGAACGTGTCACATAATGAGAAGGGAGACCTGGCCTTTAGCTCAAACCTCAGCTCCAAGTTTGTTTCTGAACAGTTTGGTTTGGTTTCCAAACCTGGTTTCAGTTACTTGAATTACAAACAGCAGCAGTTTTGGGCAGGTCACTTGACAACAGTGAGATTCTTTGAGTAGTGGTCACAACTTGGACTAAATATAGATGTGAGGACAAATCCTTTGATTCATATGTTGAATTTTGTCTGCACATTGAGGGTTCCAAAGCAGCATTTTGGATGCTCTGCTTTGGGTGCTCCCAAGTACGGGTTGGCTGGGGGATGACAGGGCAGTGTCACCCAGCACTGAGGACACAGTGGAAGTGCTCACTGGCACCTCCCTCACCAGTGCCAAGAAATGTTGCTTTTCTGAAGAACTGGCCAAGATCCCGTGGCAGATTCTGAATTTTGGTTTTCTTGCCCTTCAGGACACAGCACCAACGTGGGGGCAATCGTGTTCCACCCCAAGGCCACCGTGTCCCTGGACAAGAAGGACGTGAGCCTGGCCTCGTGTGCAGCTGATGGTTCTGTCAAACTCTGGAACCTGGAAAGGTCAGAACTGTTCCAGATGTGCACAGCTGCAGCATTGCTGTGCTGGGGTTCATTCCATGTTCCTCCAGACATTTACCATCCTCCTGCCAATATGACCTTTTCTTGTAGCTACCCCAGTGCACTCCCTGGCCTCAGTATGTGCCACCCTCTTCAGCAGGAAGAGAGATCACCCTGATTAGGGAGCCAAGGTGAGGGAGATGGTCTGAAAGGGATTGAGGCAGAATTGCTGCTGGGTATTGCTGAACTGCTGGGGGTGATGGATGGAAGGTCTGGGGTCTGTTTCATTCTAGCATCTCACTTAGGAAAAAATGGCCCCTCTTGGATATTAGTAAATGAATTTTTGAGTGGTTGGAAAGCACCAGGATTTGGAGAGGGATTGACCAAATACACAGCCAGGCACAAAAACTTGTGCCTGTCCTGCAAACAAATGGTTGTCACTGCACAGAGGAGCTCTGGGAGATGGGCAGCACCTCTCTCAGGCCTGGGAAGAGGAGAAGGGTTCAGGTACTGAGCCTCAGCATCACCTGATTGAGAAGTGGAGCCTGAGGACTCCTGGGAAGGGCACACAGCTCCCAGAGCCACAGTTGTTTATGCTTAGCTGAAAATCACAGTTTGTAACAGCAAAAATGCCCCTGTGCAAAGGGACAGGGGGTTCTTAGGCTCATGTGACCACATCTCTTAATTAACCTGTTGGAAAGAAACTTCACTGCTGTTCAGATCATGTGTGAATGACAGGCAGCAGGTCAGGAGCATTCTGGGAGAATAAATATTCCCTCCATCCTGTCTGCCTGCATCCTGCAGAACAGCAGGAGTTGCTGCAGCTCAGGATGTTGTGTTCTCAGAACTCCCTGCAGTTCAGGTAGTTTGTGGTTTGTTTCTGTACTTCCAAAAGTGGTAATGACAAGGGCCTTGCTAATTTTCATTAATAATCATCGTCATCCCAGGAGAGCTTTACAACCAACAGGAGGTGTGGAGATAAAGGGTTTCACTCAGAGCTTTGAGTGTGACCCAGAGGCAGAGTTCAGAGTCATTGGCTACAGCTCTGATGTTCCTGCCTGGTTTGATTTCATCAGCAGAGCTTCTGCTGCCATCACAATGTGTGGGCAAAGGCCTGGCTGGAGCCAGACCCCTGTGGTCAGTGGCCAATGGTTTGTTGTGTGTTTCAGCGATGAGCCGGTGGCAGACATCGAGGGACACAGCATGAGAGTGGCCCGCGTGATGTGGCACCCCTCAGGGAGGTTCCTGGGCACCACCTGGTATGGACACCTGGGCATTGCCTTCCAGAAGTGACCATGGGCTGCCCAGCTGGTGGCCCTGTGCTGCCAGGGCTTGTCCACAGCAGGGCAGGGCTCGGCCGTTGGTGACCACAGCTGGGCTGCTGCAGTGTCAGTGACAGCAGGTCGTTGGGATTCCTTTCTCTGCCCCTGTGTGAGACACTCTTGGTCTCAGGTGGGAATAAAATGCTCCCAGAGTTGGTGAAATATCCTGTTATTATCCCTGGAGTTACATGGAGACCAGGGGAAATGACCTCAAATTACACCAGGGAAGGTTTAGATTGGATACTGGGGGAAAAACATCTTCACAGAAAGGGTGGCCAGGCACTGACACAGGCTGCCCAGGGGTGGAGTCACCATCCTGGAAGTGTTCAAAAAACCCAGATGTGGCACCTGGGGACATGGGTTGGTGGTGACTGCGGTGCTGCTGGGTTAACACTTGGACTCCATGGTCCTGGAGGGCTTTTCCAGCCTGAGTGGCTCTGGTTTAAGGAGTGCTTTGTCTCGCAGCTACGATCACTCGTGGCGCCTGTGGGACCTGGAGGCGCAGGAGGAGATCCTGCACCAGGAGGGGCACAGCAAGGGCGTCTACGACATCGCCTTCCACACCGACGGCTCCCTCGCCGGCACCGGGTGAGTGCCCTTGCCTCTGCACGGAGGGCTTGCTGTGACCAGGGATTTCTGCTGGGGGAATGGCTTCCCACTGCCAGAGGGCAGGGATGGACGGGATATTGGCAATTAGGAATTGTTCCCTGGGAGGTGGGCAGGCCCTGGCACAGGGTGCCCAGAGCAGCTGTGGCTGCCCCTGGATCCCTGGCAGTGTCCGAGGCCAGGTTGGATGGGGCTGGGAGCAGCCTGGGACAGTGGAAGGTGTCCCTGCCCGTGGCCAGGATGATCTGTAAGGTCCCTCCCAGCCTAGCTCAGTGTGTGATCCTGTGCTTGCAGAGGCCTGGATGCCTTTGGCCGGGTGTGGGACCTGCGCACAGGCCGCTGTATCATGTTCCTGGAAGGGCACCTGAAGGAGATCTACGGGATCAACTTTTCCCCAAACGGGTAAGGAGGGAGCTGGCACTGATGTGGGAGCTTTGAGTGTAAACTTGACTCCCTAAACACTGCTCTGCCTCCCCTCATTGGCAGGTACCACGTGGCCACGGGCAGCGGGGACAACACCTGCAAGGTGTGGGACCTGCGGCAGAGGAAGTGCATCTACACCATCCCTGCCCACCAGAACCTGGTCACCGGCGTCAGGTTTGAACGTGAGTCCCTGCTGCTGCCTAGCCCTGCCCCTCCAGCAGCTCACATGCACACCTGCAGCTCAGCAAGGTCTGTGCTGCTGAGCAGAGATGTGTTTTCATTGCAAGCCTCACTTCTCCCCTTTTCTCCTCCTGTGCAGCCAACCACGGGAATTTCCTGCTCACGGGCGCCTACGACAACACGGCCAAGATCTGGACCCACCCTGGCTGGTCCCCGCTGAAGACCCTGGCGGGGCACGAGGGGAAGGTGATGGGCCTGGACATCTCCCTGGATGGGCAGCTCATTGCCACCTGCTCCTATGACAGAACCTTCAAGCTCTGGACAGCCGAGTAGCTCAGAGGGGCCGGTTATGGACTGGGACGGGGACATTAATGACTTTTGGTTGCTTTTTTATATTAAAGAAAAAAACAGGAATCCAGTGTGTTAACAGCAGCTGCAATCGTGGCTGCTCTGGAGTTTGGGTGTGTTTGAAGCACCACTGTTGGCCCAGGCGTGGCTGGTGTCAAGTCTTGTGTTTTCCCACATTTTGGACTGTTTTTATACTGCAGGTACCACTGCTGTAATTTTGGTCAATGTACTTCTACTCTCCCTTCCAAGTTCAGCTCCCAGGTGTCCTCCAAACATTTGCAGTAACCATAGAGCATCTCAGGTTTGGTGTGTGGTTCAGATTCTGTTACTGCCCTTCTCACCTTCCTTTTTGGTACGTGTGTGAGAGAGCTCAGAGGGAGAGGCACGTGGTGCCCTCTTTCCCCTGCCTCCACACAGGTGTCTCTGGATGGAGATCTGCATCCCCCTGGATTCACTTACAGTAGATGCCCAAGGCCAGGAAATCTCTTTTTTCCAGGTACCACCTTGTCTCTTACTCCATGAGTTGTCTCATGGACTGGGTGTTGCAAATCCATTTCAGCATCTCATGTTTAGGGTTTGCTGTGTGAGGTCACTCAGTGTAGGATTGTCTTGTTCTGCCCTGCACTGGGGAGAGCTTTTGTACTTGTTTGTTGTTTAAATTGAGATTTTGCAAATAATGTGTCCTGGAAGATCTAAACAGGTTTTGAATATGTATCCTGGGCTCTGTGTCTCAAGGAATGGAGAAATTACAGGAATTTCACAATGCATAGTTTGATTTCTGCTGGTGCACAAAACAGCTGAGGAGGGGTGAGGTCATTGGGTTTGTTCAGCTTGGAGAAGGGGAGGCTGAGGGGAGATTTCTCAGGGTCTGCAGCTCCTCCTGAGGGGCAGCTCTGATCCCTGCTCCCTGGGACAGGGACAGGAGCCAGGGAGTGGCTGGAGCTCAGGGCAAGGTTCTTCCCCCAGAGGGTGCTGGCACTGCCCAGGCTCCCCAGGGAATGGGCACGGCCCCGAGGCTGCCAGAGCTCCAGGAGCCTTTGGACAGCGCTGCCAGGGCTGCCCAGGGTGGGGTGATTGGGGGTCTGGGCAGGGACAGGGGCTGGGCTGGGTGACCCTGGTGGGTCCCTCCAGCTCAGATGAAAACTTTCAGGAATAAGGAGAAGACAGATTCACCTCCCTGTTATCATCTGGAGAGCAGCTGTGTGTTCCTTGGGAACATGAGCACAGTTCTAGGGAAAATACGATGGAATGAGAGGCCAGCAGCTAACACAGGAGAATTATTTCATTGCAGTCTCCTCTGGTCCAAGCCCAGGTCCAGCTGTGTGTGCTCAGCCTGGTGCTCAAGCATCTGTCCCTTGGTCCTGGTGTCTCATCTCCCTCTGTCCAGCCCGTGCCTCTGGCTGCAGGGAGGCTTTGTAAGGAAAATGCAGGAGGCTCAGTCAGGAGCAGAAGCTTGGCCTGAAGGCTCCCAGAGCTTGGCTTTTCTCCTGCACAGCTCTGATGCCTCCCTGTCACCCACAAGCCAACCAGCAACTCCCCCAGCCCTGCTGGCATCCCCCACAGGCACAGAGTCCCGCCTGCCCACTGTCAGGGCAGCTCTTGGGGGTCGCATCCCCTCCTGGGACAATCTGTGATGGGGGTCCCGGTGCTCAGAACGCTGCCACCTCCAGGGACAGTGTCTGACGGGGGTCCCGGTGCTCAGAACGCTGCCACCTCCTCCAGGGACAGTGTGTGACGGGGCTCCAGAGCTCAGAACGCTGCCACCTCCTCCGGGGACAGTGTCTGACGGGGGTCCCGGTGCTCAGAACGCTGCCACCTCCTCCAGGGACAGTGTCTGACGGGGGTCCCGGTGCTCAGAACGCTGCCACCTCCTCCAGGGCCGGCTCTGCGCCGCCCCTCACACGGAGCACGTGGATGCCGGAGTTGGAGCTGGCGCAGAGCAGGGTGGAGCTGTCGCAGGCGGCCAGCGAGGCCAGCGGGCCCGAGCCCTCGAGGCACAGCGTGGCCAGGCAGGCTGCAAGGGAAGGCACAAGGGAGGGATGCTGGGTTTGCTGAGATGAGGCAGGGCCACACCAGTCTCTCACCTCCAGGCTCTGCTTGCCCGAGGTGGGTGAGCTGCTGCCTGGATCCACACTTCAACACCTTGGGATGTGCCCCTGGCAGAGAGACTCACCCCTGTGCACTGCCCAGTCAGGCTGTGGCTGACAGGGATCCAGACTGGGTCAGGCTCTGCCCCTTCCTGGGAGAGGAAGCGGGGCTGGATGGACCTAGAGCCCCCACTGGGCAGAGCTGTAGGATGTGCGTGGAGCCATTTCCAACCCACCTTTTTCTCCCAAATTTCTTAGTTTTCCTAAGGGCTGTGCTACGCTTACCACACGGTTTTGATGAATCTCCAAGAGGGAAAGAGAAATAAGATTTACACAGGAGCCTTTCTGTTTGTGTCTATTATTAAACTCCCTGAGACAATTTGTGCAGAGACCCCAGCCCCAGGCTGAGCTGCAAACAGAGCTGCACTTGGCCTGGACCCAGAGGCAGCTGCCTCTCCTGGTTACCTGCACCCTTCCCAGAGCAGCTGGATTATGGCTCACCCAGCTGGGAAGGCAAAAGGATCAAAGCTGCTGCCACCTCACAGCCATCCTGGATGCACAGGCACCAGGCAAAGACACAGGTAAGAGAACAGAAGGTCCTTCTCTGCAGGAAAGCCTCAGGTTTCTATTTTCATCCCATCTTAAATAAGTTCCCTTGGAGAGGGGCTTAGCCCTGGGGAGTGTCTAATGCTGTGAGCCTGAACAGCTCCCAAGAGATCTCTGCCTGCAGCACAAGGGTTACTAAGAACCTGCTGCCATGGCAGGGCTTGGCAGGCAAACAAACCCCTTTGTGTCCAACTCAGGGAGGGACTCACCCTCATCACCAGGTTTAACCCCAAAATGGCCATGATTCCCCTTCAGGAGGACAACCAAAACGAGGGTAATGGCTGATCAGCTGTCTGTCCTCCAGTACAAATTCTATTCCTTATAACTTTCTGCTTGTACCTGCATAAATCTCTGGAGTTCACCTGTTCTTTTTTCTTTTTATCATTTGTCCTTTCATGGCTTAACTCGGATGTATCTTTAAGAGCTGCCTGGTAATTCTTCCTTTTAGCTGAGGCGAGATCTCTGTCATCTCTGACATGCAGCTCCTTCACTTTGCTGAGCCCTGGGTTTGTTCCAGGGCATTTCTCCACCCTGCCCTGCAGGCTTGGAGTAAATTCCAGAGATTGCAGCAGTCACCCTGCCCATCACCAGGAGCAGACAGAACTGGGGGAAGTGGGTTTGTCATCCAGGAGAAAGGAACACGGAGTGGGCAGGAGCCTCCCCTACCTGCAGTGCCTTGGTCCCAGACCTTCACTGTGCTGTCGCTGGACGATGTGGCAATGCTGGGGGCGAGCGTGGGGCCCCGGGGCAGGAAGACACACGAGGTGGTGGTCTGGAAATGCCCTTTGTACTCACACACTCGGCCCCTGGTCTGCCTCAGGTCCCAGAGCTGCAGGAAAGAGGCAGTGGTAGAGCCCCAGCTCTGCCAGCAGAGTTGTTTTACCAAGACAGGAAGGTGGGCTATGATAAAAGAGCTCCTCACCAATCCTCAGAGTGCCATGGCTACTGCCCTTATCCCTGCTCATGCTCACAGTCCTGGAGAACATCAAAGCCCAAAGGATTTTCAACACTGGTGACTGAGGACATGGCATGAGGACACCCAAGAGAGCCAACAAGCTAAGACTGTGCAGGCAGATAATAAATGTCCAGCCTGCTCCCATCCTCAACCCTGCCCACCCTGGCATGGGATTGTTTCATCCTCCTGATCCTCACACACAGGGCTGAAAATCTGCAGGACCTGGTTTGGAAACACCTGGAGCAAGGGATCCCTTACAGGCTTTCTGCAAGAACCTTGTGTTCCTCAATGGCATCCATTGTCTTTTTCCCCTGTGTGTTTTACTGAAATGAAATTCCAGACTCATTTGGGTTTGAAGGAACCTCAAAGACCACCTTGTTTCAACTCCCTGCCATGGGATGTTTCAACTCCCTCCCATGCCACAGATGCCACTCACTACATCAGGGTGCTTCAAGCCCCATCCAACCTGGCCTTGGACACTTCCAGGGATGGGTAAATCCCATGGTTTAATCAGGAGGAATAACTGCTGATATTTTCTGAGCAGAACTTCCCAAAGGGACAGGCAGGAAGACACCAGGCCAAGGCCCGGGCAGTGGGAGCACTCAGACCCTGGAGCAGTGAGGTGCTGCTCTCCCTGTCTGCCACGGGCGTGGGAGGGAAGGCAGCAGGAGCCCCGGGCTCGCTGCCCAGCACTCACGGTGGCCTCGGCGCCGTGGCCGGCGGAGCCGCTGCTGCTGCTGAGGCAGTACCGCCCGTCCTGGCTCACGTCACAGCACGTCTGGATGTGCTGCTTGGCTGGGAACGTGTGGGCCACCTGCAGCTCCCGGCTGTCCCACACCCTGCAGGGAACAGCAGAGGGCAGGGGGACCCTGAGGCATCATCACCACGATGGTTTCCCTCTATGCCCTCCCGCACACCCGGGCCGTGCCCACAGCTCTGTCCTGGCTGCTCCCAAACTCTCCCTGTGTCCCTACATCCCTGCATTTATCCATGCTGGATCACTCTCCAGCTTTCTTTCTCACAATTTCTCCTTTTCACCTGCAGTCACCAGCCAGTGCTGCTCCCAGGCCCTGTCCCTGGCTGGAGGTCACACTCCAAGGCCCAGGTGAGCTGGCAGGTGGCTTTTAGCCACACCAGAAGTGGTCATGACAACCAAACCCACAACAGCCTCGGGCTGAACCTCCCTGCTCTCTGGCCACAGGGAGAATTTACCTGGTGGTTTTATCCTCTGAGGTCTGGATGACATAAGGCTCCCCAGGAACCCAGCACAGGTGTGTGACCTGTGGAAAGATGAGCAGGAGTCACCTCTGTGTGCAGCCCAGGCTGTGTCTGCCAGAGGATGGAACCACTGAGCTCCCATCCTCTCCCTCCTCCTGCTGGGTTGGGAGCTGGAAATGCTGGATAATGACTTTTTCTGCTCCCCTGCCCGGTCCAGTCCCAGTGGGGTTGCTGGGAGGTGCCAGCAGCAGGACACAGAGCCATGGGAGCAGGGACAGCACAGGCACCAGGGGGTGGTACCCACCCCAGCCCTGGGTTGGTACAGGAGGGAATGCAGCCCCACTGCACAGGGCTTGTTCAGCCAGGAGAAAAGGAGACTCAGGGGGATCTGGCTCTCCACAACTCCCTGACAGGAGGGTGCAGCCAGGTGGGGGTCAGCTTCTGCTCCCAGGGAACAAGCAATGAGAAGAAATTGCCTCAAGTTGTGCCAAGGCAGGTTTAGGTTGGATAATGGGGAAAAAATTCTTTGCTGAAAGCATGGTCAGGCATTGTCACAGGCTGCCCAGGACAGTGGTGGAGTGACCATCCCCGGAGGGATTTAAAAGCCGTGTCTATGTGGCACCTGGGGACATGAGTTAGTGGTGGCTGTGGCAGTGCTGGGGGAATGGCTGGACTCTGTCTTAGAGGTCTTTTCCAACCTCAGTGATTCCATGACTCTGTGTGCTTCCAAAGCATTGATAAATTGCCACGAGTCCCTTGGTACTTTTGTGTTCCTGGGTTTGTTGTTACCTGGAGAAGAATAACCAGCCTCAAGCTGAGCCTGCCCAGGTGCACAGTGTCCCAAGGGCTCCCTTTGGCACCAAGCTCCCAGCAAATTCCCTCTGCACAGCTCCACATGTGAAATAACCATGTGGGCAGGGAGGGGAGATGGATGATGGGATGGGATTGGAGGAACCAGCACATCCTACCAGATTCCTGGAGATTGCAGCTCTGCCCAGACATTCCCCAGTCTCAGTGTCCCACTTGCACACGGTGTTGTCCCGTGAGCCCGTGCACAGCTGGGAGGCATCTGCAACCACAAGTCAACATCAAGAACAAGACAGGAAACACTGTCAGCCTGTCCCTGGGGACTGGGAGTTCGTTGTCCCTCACCTGGGCTCACAGCCAGTCCAGTAACAACCAGGTCATGTCCTGGGAAGTGCTGGCTTGGCCCTGAAGTCCCATGAAGCTCCCACATCATCACTGTCTTGTCCCGGGATGCGCTGAAGACTCTGCTGGAGTCAAGGGCTGAGGTGACCTGCCAAGGACCAGGAGGAGAAGCTGCTCATCTTCCCACCCAGCTCACAGGGAGAGCACAGCTCTGCTGCTGTCCTGCCACAGCCTAACACATGCAGGAACATGACTGGGGAGAGCCTGGCCTCCCAACTCTGTCAGAGCCAGGGATGGTGGATGGGTGCTCTCAAGTCTTGTTTGTAGAAACCATTCCTTTTATAGGAAAAACATCTTTACAAACCCAAATGAGCCCAGTGCACAGTTGTTTTGAGCACTGAGGTGAACAAAGCCCCCTTTGTCTTTGCAGTACCCACAGCTCAGGGGAACTGGGGCTGTCCCCTGCAGAGGTGCACTGGCCACACCACGCACAGCTACAGCCCCTCTGCACATATGCCCTCCCAGAAGCCTGCTTGGCTTTGTCATCCCAATCTCAGAAAGGAAATTAAAGCCCTGCTATTCCCAGAATATGCCAGCTACGGCACATGGCATGGGTATTCCCGGAATGTCTCAGCCAGGCATGGCTGATTTGTGGAATAATGTCAAGTCTAGCAAAATGAGGCCTGAAGAAAAGTGAATGGCATCTCTGCAGCAGAAGCTTGACCTCATAATTCATCCTGAGCTTTTTCTATACAGTCTCTTGGAAGGGAAGACAAGCTCACATCCAGACCTCCTACAGCCCTGTTTAGTCTGAATGCAACACTCCATTCTGCTTCCAAAAGTATCTCTTGGGACCTTGGGAAAAATCGAATGTGTTCTGATCACAGATTCATGAATCATTAAGTTGGAAAAGACATTTAAGGTCATCAACCATTCCAGCTGGACACCAGGAATACTCTGATCCCACCTTTCTTGTGGATGACAAACCAGTGCTCCAACATTCCTGTCTCCCCAGCTCTCACCTTGGTGACCTCACGTTCATGGCCGGTGAAGCGGCGCAGGACAGCCCCAGACCTCCAGCTGGACACAGCCACACTCTGCAGGGACAGGGACAGGGGTCAGCACAGGAGCAGGGCAGGGAGGATATGTCATACCAAGACTTGTGCACAGTCCACAGGACAGGGAACAGGTTCCTCTGGTTTTCAGCTCCCAGAGCATGTACAGCTGTCCTTAAAGACAGGTGATGTAAGAGTCAGTCTGGCGATCCCAAGCCTGGGAGGGAGCATTTGATGTGATATGAGCTCTGGAGAGGTTACAAAATTTGAGTCCTTGTGCTTCAGGGTGTGCCCTCACTCTAAGCTCATTTTTCCTTTCTAAATCCAGGCATCAACATAGCCACCATCCACGGAAATGCTCAAAGCTCACATTTCAACCTTACTTTTGAAGCTGTTGATACTGTTGATATATTATCCTGTCCCAGGGGATACCTCACCTTATCCCTTCCTCCTGACACACACAGCTCTGGTTTGAGGGCAGCCACAGAGGTGACAGCGTCAGTGTGAGCGGGGCTGTGCTGCCGGGAGGCACCAGCGGGTCCCGTCTGTCCCACGGAGCCGTCGGCCCTGCAGAGGAACAGGGACAGCACTGGGGGCTGCAGGGCTGGGAGGAGAGGTCAGGTGGTATTCCCTGGCACCTCTGGCATCTTCTGACATGACAACATCTGCCTTGGAAAGGCAGAGAGATGCTGTGAATGAGATGGAGCAGACCTATCCCAGCTCCAGAGCTGCTGAATATTTAATTGTCGCTCACTCTGTGCTGGTGCAAAGAAGAAAAGATATTTTGACCTCACCAGCCTCCACAGTCCTCAAACGGGTCAGGCTCTGCTGCTCTGTGCTGTGACACCTCCCTGGCCACAAGTCCCCCCACTGCCACCCCGTGCTGCTCTCCAGGCAGAGAAGCCTCTCCCCGCTGCCAGGGACTGAATTGTTTCATCTTGGCCATGAAGGCTGGAGACAGGCTCTGGGGGGACAACAAAGCAGTTTGGGTATTTGGGCCACAGAGCCACTCCTGGAGCTGTTCCCCTTCCTCAGCCATCACAGAGCACAACCACTGGCCATGGTTATGTGCTTGGCCATTCCTGTGAGTGACACTTGGGATTTCAGTCCCCCCAAAGAAGCTGAGCAGACTTTATAAGTGAGAGTTAGAAATTAAAACCTGGTTCAAACATCCAATAATGAAACTAAACCCCTGTGCTTGCCATATTCTCTGCTCATTTGTGCTCTCTTCACTCTCACACCTGGTTTATTAAGAAGACCTGATCTTCCAGCATTGCTTTACCTGTATTTGGTGGTGTGGAAGCTGATTTTACTCTGCAGTTTCCCCATGGTCCTGGCAACCAGTGGTGGGTGTCACATCAGCACCTTGAGTACCTGCTGTGGGGACACGACCTGTGGGTGAGGGGACATGGCACCACCAGGGATCCAGAGGGGTTTCTGTTTGTCACACATACAGGATAAAGTGCTGGTAATGTGTTATCTACATCCTAGAGTAAGGAGAAAACCTCAGAGGAGGGGACATCTGGAGGTCCTGAGTGGAACCTTTAGCTTAGAGCAGAGCCAGCAGCAGGGTGGGGTCACTGGGACCTCACACTGAGCTTAAAAATGCCCAAGCTTGGTGAGGCCACAACAGAGATGGAGCTGCTGCCTGTCATTCTTTACACCTCCTGTTACTCCTGGATCTGGTCTGGACTTCCATACATCCTGGAGATCCCAGTGCTTGGCTTGGTGAAGGCAAACACCTTCAGACTGAAGCTCGTACAGCAACTGGTGGGACCACGTGCAGGCACAGGCAGCCCCAGCTCAACTGAGCCAGCCTGGCAATACTTGAAGTGATCTTTCCCTGAGCTGAGGAACACTTTGGGAAAAGTTTCCATGTCCACACACCAGTTCCAGGCATGGTAAAACCATGTGGATAACCCAGATGCATTCAGCAAACACCTGCTGGCCAGGCTGGCTCCTCCCCAGAGGGGTCAGCACAGCCAGACCCTGCAGACCCTTCCAGGTGAGGAGCAGCACCTCCCCCGTCCTCACAGACCCAGCAGAAACCAGTCTCAGTGACAGTGAATTGTCACAGACAATAACTGCTTGCTGCTTAGCTCGAGGCACACTAATTGGATTTAGTCTGCTGGCATGCCCATCTTCCATGGCTGCAGCATTTTGCCAATCAAAATCAGGGGAAAAAAAACCCAATCTGCTTTTTCCAGCAAAAAACTGCTTGAAGGTTCTGCCCACAAAAAAAGTGAAAACCAAATCCTGGAAGCACTGAGCAAAAGGTTTCTACAAAATTCCCTTTCTAATTTTACCCTGACAGCCTTTGTGATTAGCAATTAATAATACCCAGTTAATCCCCTGCTGTTCTATCCATGAGTTTGCATGTTCCAAAGATGTGAGGAATGATCAATCTCACAGCTATGGGGCTGTGTTAATTTGGCAATTTATTCTTTCAATCAGACTGAGTGCCCCAATCATTTCAGTCCATCAAGAAACTGATTTTTCTCGGACAGTGGGAGAACTCTGGAAGTTGCAAAACAAGGCTCTAGGAAGAGGTAAGGCAGGAATTCTGAGTTTTTAATTCTGATGGTTACTGTTTCCAACCAGCAGTTAGTTCATGTTTATCCCTACCTGCACATCAGCTCACAGGGAGTTGCCCGAGGCCAGGGGAGGCTGCAGGGAAGGTGGAAGCTTTGTTCTGGGTCTCACTGTTCTCCTGCCTCTTCCTCACTGCAAGAAAGAACAGATTTTTCTGCATCCTGGATGAGAACAGCACTCAGACAGGATTTAATCCAAGCTTTTGTTGTCTGCATCCCAACACACATTTATCCATCAGGCTGCTCCACCACAAAACTCTAAAACTCAGGGATGCTATGACAACTGATCCACACCAAGCTTCACCTCGGCAGCCTGAGTTTCATGCTGGAGGATGCCGTTATCCTCCCTTCCCCCCAAATGCATCACTTGACAGAAACCTTTTTTACTGAATTGCTTTTGAGAATTAAGCCGTGCTGCTGCCTCCACCTGTCCAGGCTCTGCAGTGAAACCTGCACCGTGGGATAAGGAATGCCAACAACCACAGCAGCAGCACAGGGACGCAGCAGAGCTGCCCCATCCTCTCGGGGGAATAAGCATCCCTTTGAGGAGGGTGTTCGGCTTTGGGGAGAATCGGGAGGATATCCTGGGATCCTGGAGCTGGGTGTGACCCACAGAGGTGCTGGCAGCTCTCTGTGGATGGGAGTGATCCTGTGGGGTTCAGTGGGAGCATCCCGGGTCTCTGTGGATGGGGGAGGCCTTGTGAGGCTCAGCGGGAGCATCCTGGGTCCCTTGGGATGGGGGTGTCCCTGTGCGGTTCAATGGGAGCACCCCGGCTCCCGTGATGGGAGCGTTCCGAGGGAGCCCCTCAAGTGCCATGTGCCGCGGGCAGGGGCGAGGCGGGGCAGCCCTCGGGAAAGGTTTGTGAGGAAAGGTTTGTGAAGAATCGCGTCCCTGCGCTGGGGCAGCCCCGCGGCCCGGCCCGGCCCCGCCGCGCACTCACCCTCACCGGCCCCGGCGCCGTCCCGCCCGTGCCACCGCCCGCCGCCGGCTCCCGGCCCCGCCCGCCGCCGGCTCCCGGCGGGGCCGGGCCGGGGCGGAGCCGAGCCGGGAGCGCCGAGCGAGGCCGGGCGGGGCCGTCGCCCCCGCGGCAGGTGCGGGCACAGCATGGCCCGGGCCGAGCGGCTGCGGGTGAGCGGCGGGACCCCAGCCCGGGCCGGCTGAGGGGAGCCCGGGGCTGGGGGGGCAGCGGGGCCGTGCGGGGCTGGGGAGCTCCGGCGGGACGGGGGTCCGGGCGGGCGTGCCGGTGTGTCGGGGAGTGTAAGGGCTCCTGGGTGGGTATGAGCGTCCTTGGGGGAATATGGGGCTCCCTGGGGAGATATGGGGCTCCCTGGGGGTGTGTGGGGGTCCCGATGGGGGTATGGGGCCACAGGTGTCCCTAGCGGGGTGTGGGGGTGCCTCGGCAGCTGTGGCGCCGGGGGGGTCCCTGGCAGGGAGTGGAGGTGCCAGACGGGGTGTGGAGGTCTCAGACCGGGTGTGGGATCCCTGAGGGTGTGTAGGGTCCCTGGGGATTTGGGGGGCCGCGGGGGTCCCTGGCAGGGTGTGGGGCCATGCGGGTGTTCCCACGGGAAGCTGGGTGCTCTGAAGGAGCCCCTGGCGGTGTGGGCCCACCCAAGGATGGGGACGGGGGCTCTGCGAGGCGCTCCTGGCGGGTGTGGGGTGCTGTGGGGCCCTGGTGGGGTGTGGGGCTGTTCGGGGCCCCGTGGGGATGGGGGCTCTCTGTGGGGTGGTGCAGGGGAGCGGGCAGGTGTGGGGTGGCTGCCGGGGCTCGGGGCCCCGTCCAGACCCGCATCCATCGCCGCACTGCTCCGTGTCCCAGAACAAGCTCGTGGAGCGCTGCGAGCGGATCCAGCTGCAGAGCGCGGCCATCGCCCGGCACGTGGAGGAGGTGCTGCCTGCCAAAGACCAGGGCGTCCAGGTGAGTCCCTGGGGCTGGCCCTGCCTGCTCCCTGCTCGCCATTGCCGGAAGGGATGCTCAGCTCCCAGGGGGGAAGACGTCGGGATGCCGCTGTGGAAATGGAATGCCAGGGTGTGCCTGGAATTCGTGCTTCATTTGCCTAGAAAATGCGCATAGACAATGGTGTGAGTGTACAACAATCAAACATCCTACTAGGATCAGTGCCTTAGAATTCCTACGTTTATTTTATTTGTTCCTTGCAGTCAATGAGGACAAAGGACAGTGATAGAATCAGAATTCCAAAAACTGGTTTTGGTTGGAAGGAACCTTAAAGACCACCCAGTTCCAACCCTCTACCATAGGCAGGGACACATCCCACTATCCCAGGTTGTTCCAAATTCCATCCAGCCTGGATTTGGACACTGCCAGGGATCCAGGGGCAGCCACAGCTTCTCTGGGCACCCTGTGCGTCTCACCACCCTTGCAAGGAAAATTTCTTCCCAATATTCCATATAACCCTGCCCTCTGGCAGTGGGAAGCCATTCCCTCTTGTCCTGTCTCTTCAGGTTCTTGTCCTGAGTCCCTTTCCAGCTGTCCTGGAGCCCTTTTAGGCACTGGAAGGAGCTGTAAGTTCTCCCTGGTGTCTTTCCTTCAGGCTGAGCACTCCCAGCTGTCTCAGCCTATTCTCCTGTTTCTCACCCACAGTGAATCTGTGGAGGGACAGGACTCTGGTCCCTCACAGGTTGTCACTTAGGTACTGGGGCTGGCTGAGGAGGCAGGGGGCAGGTTTGGGACTGGTATGGTGCCAGGTGCCATGGGCTCAGTTAACGGAGTAGCACCAATGGCTGAGCCCCAGGAGTGCTGGCAGAAGCAGCTGGGCTCCTCTCGGGGCTGGAGCAGGGCTGATGCTCCTGCTGTGTCCTTGCCGTGGCAGAGCGCAGCCAGCGCGGCGCGGGAGCTGGTGGTCCAGAGGCTGCTCCTCGTGGGGAAGGCCTGTGAGAACGAGGAGCAGCGGCTGCTGGAGAGGGTGCACGCCGAGGAGGAGCGGGCACACCAGAGCATCCTCACCCAGCAGGTGCACTGGACAGAGGCGCTGCACAAGCTGGGTGCCCTCCGCACCTACCTGGTGGACATGATCACCAACCTGGATGACCAGGGCCTGCTGGTGAGTACTGAGAGCCAGGCAGCCCAGAGCTGACCTGCACGTCTTGTTATGGGACTTAAATGCAGAGTTCAGTGGCTGCTGTGCTGCCAGCAGGGAGGCAGAGGTGAGCAGGACATAAGGAATTCACAGAATCACCGCGTTGGAAGAGACCTTAAGGACCATTGAGTCCAACCCATGCCCTGACACCTCAGCTAAACCCTGGCACCCAGTGCCACATCCAGGCTTTTTTTAAACACATCCAGGGATGGTGACTCCACCACCTCCCTGGGCAGGCCATTTGCAGACATTTGGAGGTCTGGCTCAGTGAACCTCCTTGACCTGATCCTGATAAGCCCCTGTGGTTTCTGGTGGTTCCTAGAGCATCTGCTCTGCCCGATCCTGCTCTTGCTTGCAATGAGGTCCAGAACGACCCATATTCAGGTCTCCAGACTCTGGGCTTGTAGTTGCCCTTAGGCTGGACAGCCAGGACAGCTCTGGGTTGTGACCTGCTCTTACAACAGTTGTGCCACCAGTTTTCTAGTGTCTAGTTTAATCAAAACTGACCCTTGGAAACACCTGCAGCTCTTCTGGAAAGTCCCCAGTGTTGCCTGGCTTAGCCCTGTTAGGGATATTTGCCGTGCAAAGCAGCCTGTGCTTCCCCTTGCTCAGTTCCTTCTCTGGTTATTGAATCATCTGGGTTCACCCAAGTGATTCCTCTCGTTTTAGATGTGAGCAGGACCTCTGCCTTGCCACCACCATGCTCAGCCTCTGCTTCCCACATGTAAATTTGTGAGGAGAGGAACAGCAGTTTGGCTTGGAAACCAGACCCAATCCCATGGAAAGAGGGCAGAAGCTCCTTTGGTGGGAAAGGCAGTTCCTATCCTGCCCCAGCACCTCGATGTGCTGGGCTGTAGCTGCACCATAAAGAGGAGAGGCTGGACATCAGGATCCATCAGCTGCCTGCGGCAGAGAGCGGCCACACCCTCAGTTTCTCCTTTTGGAAGGGAATTAGGGGTTCATGTGTTTTCCACCTTGGGCTGTCAGTGTTGGTACTTTTGCCTATCTGGAATCAACGCATGGCATGCCACAGGAAAGCTGAAGGCATGCAAAGTGCGCTGCTTGGATTTGAGCAGGGATCAGGTATTTTCTTATCACTTTGCTGTACCTTTAGAGTGCCTCATGGCCAGCAGGTACAGAAACAAGTGGGACTGACCATGAGGTCACCTGACCCTTGGCTTAGTCCCTCTGCAGCCTCCCTCCTTTGCTGAAAGCCCTGGGGTTGTTTGCTGGGAGCACAGGCTGTTCCTGTGGCCTGCCCTAGTGGGGTGGGGACAGAGGGAACAGCAGACAGTATCCCAGCCACAGTGCAATGTACTGCCTTCAGCATTCCCACTCACTTTTGGAGTCGGGAAGTGCTGCAGCTGAAGAAAATGGATGTTGGATGCTCTTGCTGCTCCCCAGGGTTGGGATGAGGGGTGGCTTCTCTGGGTCAGGAAGGGGAACGCTGCTCCCTGGGTCCCGAGTTTGCTGTGTTGGGGTGTCTTCTGTGGGGATTTAAGCTCTGATGACTCTTTCTCTCCTTGTCCCCAGCATGCAGAACAAGAGATCTTCGAGAGGTCAGTACCTGGCTGCTCCTGGTCCTTTCCCTAACCTTGCTTAAAGCTTTTCCTGCTCCACACCTGCATCCCCACCCCAGCATGCAGAACAAGAGATCTTCGAGAGGTCAGTACATGGCTGCTCCTGGTCCTTTTCCCTAACCTTGCTTAAATCTTTCCCTGCTCCTGCTCCACACCTGCATCCCCTCAGCTCCTGTGCTGTGTGCCATGACTCAGGCACACCGTGATACCTCCTTTGTCCCTCGTGCTGCTTTTGTTCTGAACAAGGACAGAGCACAGAGATGCCAGCGTGGCCTCTTGTCTCTGCTCCTTGTGCTGTGCTGCACCTGGAGATGCTCCATGTGCTTTCCCAGATCAACAGTCCTTGCTCATGGGAGAAATGCTGCAGCTCCTTAGAAACCCACAGGGCTTGCTGGGGAATGGAGCAGGCTGTGCCAAGCTGTTGGAGGAGGTAGGATGGTCTGTGCTCCATGTAGGAGGTGGCTGGCACAGCATCTCCCCAGCCCTGCATGGGCAGGGAGAGACAGCTGCAGGTCCCAGTGTCCCCAACAGCCCTATCACTGACACTGGGCTGCCCTTCCTGAGGAAGCGCCTTGTGGCTGTGTTTTTATTTAATCTATTTCATTTTATTTAAGTCATTTATTTCTGTGGCTGCTGTGAGGGTGCTGGCCCTGGCTACACTGTGCTGCCCAGAGGGCCTGTGGGGGTATTTGTGCCTGTGGGGGTATGGAATGTGCTCCAGCACATCCCCAGCAGCCCGTGCCACAGCCTGTCCTCACAACCAGGAGTTCTGCAGGCCACAGGAGCCAGCAAACCCCTGGCTCTGTGCTGGGTGGAGCCTCTGTGCCCAGACTGTGGGGCTGTGGCAATAGAGGGAAATCTGATTCTCTGCCTGTTCATTGTGCTCCCCTGGTACCCTGATGGCTGCTCTCAGACACATTTATTTACCCTGTGTCTGCTGAGTGAGGAGCTGTTGACTCAGGCTGCTGGGATGTGTTTTACAACACTGCAGCCCTTTCACCAGGAACTGTAAGCAGAGCCAACCGAAAGTATTACTCGGGGTGAGAGCTGGCCCAGACACCCCTGCTGTGGTCTCTCTGCAGCCAGAGCTCCTCTTTAACCTCTGCCATACCTCCTTGTAATCTTTTAGACACCTCCCAGCACAAGAAATCGTTGTATTTTGAAACAACTCCTGTTTTCCTTTGCTAGGACGGAGGTGGCGGAGGGAATCTTGGAGCCACAGGAGTCCCTGAAGTTAAACTTTAATCAGACCTGTGTTCAGAGTCCACTGCTGCACCGACTGTGGGCCTGTGCTGTGCTCTGCTGCCTCACAGGTCAGTGTCTTGCTCAGATCTCTCATGCTCCAGCGATTCCTGCACCCTCACTCGTGTTGTGCCCAGACAAACACCCTCATGCTGTGTCCAAATTTCCTCAAGCTGTGTCCTGCCCCTCTGCTCTCCCAGCCCCTGCTTGTTTCTGGGAGCCCATTCAGGGAGGCAGCAGCAGCTGTGGGAGATGTAGGGGGTGCCTCCAAGCAGTTGTGGCTCGGGGAAGAACTGGAGTTTGAAAAGATTGTGTGTTTTATCAGCTCTGTGGCTTTAGTGTTGTGTGGTTTCTTTTGCTGTTTCCTGAGTCTCTGGGTGACAGCAGTGAAGCTGTTGCTGCTGTGGGAATCTCTGTCACAAACAGGCTGCTGGGGACTCTGAGAGGGTGATTTCTTCTGTGGGGTGTCTGTGAGACTGCCCAGTGCAGGAGGCAGTGAGTAGATGGAGCAGTGTTCTGATCACAAGCTGAGGTTGTGGCTGTGCATGAGCTGGTGGTTGTAGAGGTGTTTGTGCTCTGGCTCAGCCCCTGCTGTACAGCTGAGGCTGCACTGGAGGCATTTGCCAGGCCACTGACAGGCTCTGGGACTGGTTTACCTGGTTGGTGCTGGCTGTGTTAAGCAGGGAAAGACATTTTTCCTCTGGCTGTGATGTGCTTGAATGGCTGGTTGTGAAATGTTTGCTTTTACTCGGGTTTCAGTCTGTTGTTAGAGTATTTCAAATGCATTTTTTGTTTCTCAGAGATGGCAATATCCTTTGTGATTTGTCTTGTGAACAATCCCTAGCGTGGTTTTTCCAAAGCTGCTGTAAGACTTTTGATTTCTGCTCATCTTGATGTGATTCTGAGCTGTTTCCAGTTTTTCCCTGTTTCCAGGCCCATCTCCAAAGTCTGCACTTCAGGCTTTTATTGCTCTATGGTTTTAAGTATTAGCTTGAGAGTCTATGCCTATCAAGCACTACCATCATGTGTTTATCTACTGCAAACTCTGGTGTTGCTCTCCCTTTGTGATTAATTTCCCCCTTTGGAATCTGTGAGTGCTGGCAGTTGAGGAAAGTGTCCCTGCAGGGGGTTGGGACTAGGTGATCTTTAGGGTCCCTTCCAGCCCAAATCACTCTGTGATTCTATGCCAGTCCCTGCAGTGGTTCATTGACAGTGTCACAAAACCCCAGAATTGTTCAGGCTGGAAAAGACCTCTAAGACCATCCAATCCAACCTGTGATCACCACCTTGTCACCCAGCACTGAGCAACTGCCAGGCCCAGTTGTGCCTTGGACACCTCCAGGGATGGTTATTCCATCACCTGGGCAGTCCCTTCCAGTATTGAACAGCCCATTCAGTGAAGAAATTCTTCCTGAAAGAATCAATCAAGCAGGTTCTCAATGTTCAGAGCTGTGGAGTCAAGCAGAAAGCCTTTCCCTAATTTTCTTTGTTGTGACAGGGTTTTTGTAAGGATTCCTCTCCCAACAGTATCCTTGTGAAATGTAATAACTTAGGGCATTTGATTCTTGTGGTGGGTGTCCTGATGCACTTATTATACAGGAATTTGATTCTGTTTGGGTTTTTTTTTGAGTGTGTGGTTACATTTCACATATTACTGCATTCTGAGGATGCCTGGTGTATCCTTGAGGATCTCATCAGTCCCCAGGCCACCCCGGACCTAAGCCTTAGAGATTTTATATTAACAGCAGTGGTCTGAGCTTGCCTTAAGACACAGTAATGCAAAGTGTCACTCTGTGGTCCCTTCTCTCAAAGGCAGGTGAGCAGGTGGCTGTCTTGTTTATTTGCTTGAAAACAGAAAATTCCAAGCCTTGATGGTTCACTCCATAACCTCTAAAATACTTGGAAAGCAGCTGCAAAAGGGCCTCTATTTCACTCTCAAAAATAAACATGATTCCTATGATGCCTTTACCTGGCACCCAGGCTTCTGTATCACTTCTTTTTGGCGTTGGCAGCTTTTTCCTTACAACACGAGATGATGTAAATCTCCTGGCACAGTTTTGGGAGGGATCTCAGTTCATGGGAACTTGGATTTTTAAAAGAAGCCAGATGTGCTGCAGCTCACACAAATGTGCTTCCCAGAGCTGTTAACCATGGGAATTTATTGTCCCAGTATCCCTCATGTCCCAGGGCCACCCTGATGGATACAGGGCACAGAGAAAATAGATTTGGGGGTGAGATGAATTCCCAGTGGAATCATTCATCAGAATTATATGTGAAAATCCAGATTTAATCATTACAAAACACTTGTGTGAGGGGCAAAATTTGCTGATCTGAATTACTCTGCTGTTATTTTGCCAGCACTTCCCCTCCCTCAGATGCTCCCCTGGAACTGCAATTCCACAGGAAACAATGTGGTTGTCACTGGGGAGGTGTTTCCCCACATGGACCACCAGGATGCAGCCCTAGGTCAGCTGTGTGTGGCACAACAGGAGGTTTAGTGCTCTTCTGCCAGAGGAAGATAAAGTCTGGTGCTGCTGTGTTTTCTATGAATCCAGAGCAGCTCTGGCTTCCTGGAAAGCCACCCTGCACACCAGCAGCGTGGGCAGCCCCAGAGCCCTGTGGAGAGCTCAGCTTTGGCTGCTGTGTGGGGAAATAAATCATCAGGTGAATGAGGCTGACAGCTCCTGCTGAAGGAAATGCTGGCTTCAGCTCCTCTTTGGGCTCACTCTGGCTTGCAATAACTCCTACCTGACGTGCACAGGTGCATGGCACTGATTTGCAAAGGGATAATTGAGCCTCTCTTCATCTGCCAGGGAGCACCTGGGCGGGTGCAGCCTGAGGAAACCCTGGAGCATTGCTGCTGCTGCTGGGTGCTGATTGCTGCTAGAGGGATGCTGATCTGGGTCCTGGAGCAGGCTGGGCTCTGGCATGACCCTGTTGAGGTCATCCTTTGGTTCTTTAAGGGCTCATTGTGCTGTGCTCTGGATGCTGAGCAGAGGGTGTTGGGCAATGGCTGGTGCTGGCATGATGGGATAGAGCTGCTGGCAGGAATGGCAGAGCCACTGAGTCACCCCTCCAGCCCTGTTTCCATGGTGGTTTAAGACCTAAAGTGAATAAAGTGAGGGCAAGGAGGGGCACATACTGGCAGGAACTGGGTCCCCTCGAGCAGATGAGTCCACTGAGCATCAACCTCACCCCTGCTTCACAAATTTAGGGACTGAAGGACACACTTGTGCAGTTCTACAGCCTGCAGACCCACAGAAGGGTCTCAGGGGGAAGAATGCAGCCAGGGAAGGGCACCATGATCTTAGAGATCTTTTCCAGCCTCTACAGTCCTGTGATTCCATGATTTTGAAGAAGTGCAGACCCACAGTGGGTGCTGTGTCCTCTGGCCACCCTGGGCTGCTACTGGCTGGATTTGTGCAGCTGGGCACCCTCTTCTTTCACAGCTAAACCAGATCCAGTCACAGCCATGCTCAGCTCTAGGCCTGGTGCCAGCTCCCTGTGCTGCTCCCAGCACCTCAGGGCGGGTTGATCAGCACCTGAGGCTTTGTAGCAGGAAAGAGATTTCCCTGCCCGGCCCTCTCCAGTCCTGTTTTTCCAGCTTTGCAGGTTTTCTGCACACAGCCCTTGCCAGGCTCTTGGCTCCCCTGACTGGGGGAGGAGCAGCCAGGTTCTGCTCACCCACTATGGGGGTGAGAAAGGACAGGAACTAGGTTTGGATCTCTCCCAAAATTGGGGTGAACCAAACCTGCGGAGTTCTGTTTTGTGGGGAGTCAGGCCAGGGTCAGAGGAAGATGAGCAGGGCCTTTAGTGCAAGGTGGAGAGGTGTCTGGTGAGTCTGGGCTTTGGTGAATGTCTGCCTTGTCCTGGCCCTGGCTGAGAGGAGAAGCTGTGGCACCCAGCCTGAGCCCCCAGCACTGTCACCCTGGGGAGCAGAGGGGGCCCCAGGAGCACTGTGTGAGGAGAGGGTGGTTGTGCTTGTGTTTCTTGTGGCTGTGACTACCTCAGGTGGTTCAGGTGGTGGCCACTGCGTCAGTGCTCATCGTGTGGCTTCTCTTGCAGGCTCACAGGAGATTCACATCGATGAGAAAACCCTGAGCCCCCACCTCAGCCTGTCAGAAGACAAGAGAACCCTGACCTTCAGCCCCAAGAAAGCAAAGGTGGACTCGGGCTGCCCCGAGCGGTTTGACCACTGGCCCAATGCTTTGGCCACTGCGCCTTTCCACTCGGGGGTGTGTGCCTGGAAGGTCAGCGTGGAGCAGAGCTGTGCCTACAAGCTGGGGGTTTGCTACAGCTCCGTGCCCAGGAAGGGCTCTGCCAACGAAGGCCGCCTGGGCTTCAATGCTGCCTCCTGGGTGTTCTCACGCTACGACAAAGAATTCCGGTTCCTGCATGCGGGGCAGCCCCAGCCCGTGGAGCTGATCAAGGCCCCGGCAGAGATCGGGGTCCTGCTGGACTTTGCAGGGGGGGAGCTGCTCTTCTACGACCCCGACTCCTGCGCCATCCTCTTCTCCCACCGCCAGGCCTTCCTGGAGCCCGTGTACCCTGTCTTTGCCGTGGCACACCAGAGCATCTCGCTCGGCCGCGTGTGACTGTGTGTGCTCTGCAGTGCCCGGGCGAAAGGAGCCCGGGCAGGGCTCTGGGCTGTGTCCAGGGCCCTTCAGACAACACCTGCCTTCACACTACACCTGTTCCTGGCGTGTTTTCTGCAGCTTTCCTCTCGTCCCAGAGCCTACACCCTGTGCTGGGGTGAGGGTCTGGTAATGCCTGGCTGGGCCAGCTGCTCCTAGGTGAATTGTGTGATTTCTGCCCCACCAAAGGCAGCTTTCGAGTCTGCTGGTGTGCTGGAAAAAAGAGGAGAAATAGTGAGAGATATGTATGGAGAAGTGGCAGGGAGGAGGCCTGTGGAAAGGGACATAGTGTGCTCTACAACTCCTTGGCAGGAGGGTGGAGCTGGGGGGGTGGGGGTGCAGGCTCTGCTCCCGAGCAACAGTGCAAGGACAAGAGGAAATGGCTTCAGATTGTGCCAGGAGAGGTGTAAGTTGGATCCTGGAGAAAATTTCTTCACTGGAAGGGTGGTCAGGCCCTGCCACAACCTACCCAAGCCAGTGATGGAGTCACCATCCCTGGAGGGGTTTGAAAAGTGTTGTGGATGTGGCACTTGAGAACATGGTTTAGTGGTGGCCTAGGCAGTGTTGCGGGAACAGTTGGACTCAATCCTAAAGGTCTTTTCCAACCTAAATGAGTCTGTGATTCCCTGATTGGGACACAGCTGGAGATGCTTTTGGCAAGAGCTGCCTCCTTGCAGAGCAGGGGGCTGTCCCCTGTAGTGGAGCCATGCTGGGACAGGGGCACTGCTGAGGGGCTGTGGCCATGTCCAAGCAAAGGAACAAGCAAAGACCAGCAGAAAGAAATCAAAACTGATTGTCCCATGGCAGTGGGGTTTGAGTGTAACGTGGTGCAAACATGGGGAGCTGATGGCAGCAGGCAGGGAGGAAGGAGAGGTGTAGGCCTGGAGCTGAGCCAGAGAAAGGGGTTTTAAATGATCTTTATTTCTCACTACCAAAATCAGTAAAATTTGTTAACTGGCAATTCATTAAGTGAAACTGTCCAGCTCCAGGCTGTTTTGCCCACAGCAGAAGACCTGCAGGCACCTCCTGCCTGTGACTGCTGTTGGGAAGGGGGGGATGTTGGTGAGGTGGAAAAGGTGGGGTACACTGAGAGTGCAGGGCCTGGGCAGGGGTGTCCTGGGTGCTCTGTGTGGGCAAACCTTCCCTGGGACAGGGCTACCACTTGCACTGGGGAATACCTGGGCCTGTCCCCGGGGTGACTGAGAAGGGATAAGTCTCAGTATCTTTCTCCATCTCCTGCCAGAATGAACCTCTGCAGTGACCCAGTCCCAGCCCTGTTAGGGGAAGACACCACAGCTGACCCTTTTATGTGTTTTTAGAGCCATGAAACACATTTGCTCTGCTGCTGGGCATCAGAAGTGTTTTATTGCATGAACACTCCTCCTGCTCCATGGGCAGCTCAGCTGCTGCTCTTCCCTGCCCACCTGGCAGCAAGAAATCTCATGTCAGGACAGTTCAGCACTCGGCAGCAGCACCAGCCCCCTCCGAGCCGCAGCTACTCCTTCTCGATGCGAGCCAGGAGGTGGCCGAGCGTGGGCAGGACGTGCTCGGGGGGCACCTCCGGCCCCTCGCCCTGCCCGGCCGCCCGCAGCAGGAAGCCGTGCATGCCCGCGGCCCGCGCCGCCCGGTAGTCCCGGCTGTAGTCATCCCCGATGTGAGCCGCCTGCTCGGGGCGGGCCCCGCCGAGCCGCAGCGCCTGCTCGAAGATCCTCCCGTCCGGCTTGGCGAAGCCCGCGGCCTCGGAGGTGAGCACGAACTCGAAGTGGTGCCGCAGGTTGCACTGCGAGAGGATGGCTTCCAGCCGGCTGTCGAAGTTGGAGACGACTCCCATGCGGAAGCCGAGCTGGCGGCACCGGCTCAGGGTCTCGGCGGCTCCCGGCAGCACCTCCCAGGTGCTGGAGCTGCAGTAGTCGCGGTAGAGCTTCTCTGCCAGCTTCGTCAGGGCTGCCTCGTCCTGCACGCCCGAGAGCCTGAAGCTCTGTTTGACAACATCCAGCCACCACTGCCGGGAGCTGAGCCCCTGGCCGTGGCCGTAGTTGGGGAAGCGCCGGCTCTGGGCTCCGTACACCTCCCGGAAGGAGCGCCCCAGAGCCTCGGGCTGCACCTGCAGCCCCTGGGCCCGGGCCTCGGCCGCGTAGCTCTGGCCCACGGGCTGCCGCAGCCGCAGCAGCGTGTCCTTCACGTCCCACGTCAGCAGGCGCAGCCTGAGCATGGCCTCAGCAGCGCCCGGGGCCACCGCCGAGCCCCGCGGTGCCAGTCACATCCGAGGGCTGCGGGCACCCCGGCCTTCTGTCCACTCCAGTACGAGCGTCGGTGTCCTTGCGGCGGGGCTCGGGGCCCCTCTGGGGTCAGCACGGAGACGCGGCAGGGAGGGCAAACCCTGCTCCGAGTGCCAGGGGCAAAGTCTGCCAGGCCGGGGCAGCGACACTCGCCACGTGGGTGCCGCAGACGGGGCGAGCTGGGGCACCGGGGCTGGGGGTCAGGGGCACGGCCGGGGCGTCTGGGGAGGGTGTTCGGGAAGGGAGCACCGCTGGAACGCAGGTGCAGACTCGCGGTGTCCCCGCGGGTCTCGGAGGTGCGGGGGGGTACCGGTGCTCACCGGGCCGAGCTCCCGGTGCGCGGGGGCTGCGGGCTGGGGGGCCGCGGTGCCGGGGCCCACCTGCGCCGCTGCCCGGAAGCACCGCCCCTCCCGGGGAACCCGCCCTCCCGGAATTCCCTCCCCTCCCGGAGAACCCGCCCTGGCCGCAATGGTGGCACTCAGTGCCGGCCCGCCGCCTCCTTCAGCCAGCGCAGCAGCTGCGGTGTGAAGTAGGTGATGATGATGTCGGCCCCTGCGGAGAGACGAGACACTGGAGCCAGCCCGGGGGGACACGGGGGATAGAAAGGGGGACACGGGGGTCGCAGTCTCACCTGCGCGCCTGAAGGCCGTGATCGCCTCCTGCACCGCCGCCTCCAGGCTGAAGGCGCCGGCCTGCGCCCCGTGCCACAGCATGGCGAACTCCCCCGAGACGTGGTACACGGCCAGCGGGTGCGTGGGGTGCTGCGGGAGCGGGTCAGCGCCGGGGACAGCCCGGCCCGCACACCCCCGGTGCTCCAGTGCCTGTCCCGGCGCACAGAACCCACGGCCCCCACCCAGAGTCCCCCGCAGGTCCTCACCCGAGCCTTGACGTCCCTCACGAGGTCCAGGTAGGGCATCCCCGGCTTCACCATCAGCATGTCCGCGCCCTCCCGCACATCTCGGTCCTGCCACGGCAGCGCGGAGACAACAGCTTGGTTTTGCCCAGGAGTTTGGAGCCGTGGTGGTTTTCCCCAGGAGGGATCACAGGATGCTGTGAGTCCCTCGTGGCCAAGGTGCTCCCCCTGCCATACGCCATGCAGCCTGGGGAGAGCTGATGGCTTCGTGTCCCTGCACCTGACACCCCAAGCCAAGCAGGGCATGGGGACAGCAATTGCACAGCTGCCAGTGCTCAGCCCTCAGGCACACACTGGGACCAGCTCTGCCAGGCTGATGGGCCTTGTGTTTCTTTGGCTCATGGAAGGGGAACACCATTGACCATTTGCCTCCCAACCTCTTGCTCGCCCCAAGCCCTGCGGGGTGCAATCACCCAGACCCTGTGTGAGGGTGTCCCACCCCACAGCCATACCCCACAGCCCACAGTCACCCCACTGAGCGTCCCACCCCACAGCCATACCCCACAGCCCACAGTCACCCCACTGAGCGTCCCACCCCACACTCACCACAGCACGCACGGCCAGCCCGCGGGCTCCTGGGGGCAGCTGGTAACAGCGCCGGTCCCCAAAGGCAGGTTTGGACAGCGCCGCGTCCCTGCAGAGGGGCAGAGGGCAGGCGGTGAGGATCCCCTGCCTCCCACCTCCTACAGCTCCAGAAACACGAGGACAGGCCAGGACAAGCATCTGAGCCAGAACAAGGGGGCACTCCCAATGCAGTTCAGCACCCAGGGATTGCTCTGCGAGGTCCTACAGGCCCAGGCTGGCCCTGGGAGCTGTTTCAACACCCACTGCCCCCTCCATGCCCAGAGTCTGGGTAAAATTATGTTAGGCTCCTTTCCAAGGTAGATTCCTTGGGGACACCCTGCTGGCGTCAGGCTGTTCTTGGGACAAGGTCTAACAGCTAACTAAGCTGAGGCTTGTCCCTGAAGTCACGCTGTGGGGCAACACTGACTGCTGTGACTCCTGACTGCTCCTGGAAGCTGCAGGCAGCTCTCTCTGCCTGCCTTGCCACCAGCACCCGAGCAGGTGAAGGGTTGGGAGAGAAGATCACCCTTCAGTGACCTCGCTGCCAGCCAGCCTCTTCTAGGCAAGTCCTTTTTGCATGGGGAAGTAGGAGTAGGGTGTTGCAAAGTGACCCATGTGCCCTACATGCAGCCCATGCTCTGCGTAAGCCCCTTTCCCAAGTAACTCCCTGGGAATGCATTCCCAGCCAGCCTGGCCCCAGCTGGGCACACCTGGGTGGGGGACAGACCCACCTGAAGGGGCCGTAGAAGCATGAAGCAAACTTGGCACTGTAGCTCATCACTGAGACCTGCAGGGCACAGAGAGGCTGTGAGGGCTGGGAGCTCAGGGCCATATCCCAGTGCTGGGACAGGAGAAATTCCCTCCCTCAGCTTTACCCTCCCCCTGCCACACGTCTGGCAGCTCACCATGCCTGGGCATTCCCCTCCTGTGTGTGCCGGGGCAGGGCAGTGCCCGCGGCACCAAGGCGAGGTTTGCCCCTCCTGCCACTTGCCCTGTCCCGCTGTGCTGCAGCCTCCCATGGATGTGGCTCGTGCCTGTGGCACACACAGGTCCCTGGCTCACCTTGTTGCCCAGGTCGTTGGAGATCAGTGCCTGCTTTATGGCTGCAATGCGCCCGTCCATCATGTCTGAGGGGGCCACGATGTGGCAGCCTGCAGGGACAGACAGGACAGGGATGTTGGGAACACTGGAGGCTCAGGTGCTGT